GGTTGCACAAGGGTAGCGGGCAGCTCTCCTTTGGGCATTTTTGAAGCTGCTTGTTGTTCCGATAAACAAACCAATTAATCTTGGGGGCCCTAAATGGACACCAAGGCCAATTCCCACTTCGGGTGTTCTCAGGAAAAATACTCTTAGTGCCATCGGGGGCTCTGGGATGGCAGCAGCGCTGCTGGCCAAAGCCAGTGCCCACCTGATGGCGCACGAGCGTGGCCAAGGCCGCTTCATAAATAACTTTTGCTTTGGAATACTGAAAGGAATATTTTTCAGGGGGGTAATCTTTCCAAAGCAATGGATCTGTACAGAAAAGGCAGAGGAGTGAAAGCCCCCCCAGCCTGGTTTGGCAAACTGATACCCCAGGAGCTGGGGGAGCTGGGCAGCTGTGTCGAGCTCACTGCTGGATGCTGGTCAGACCTGGTGGCACCAGTGTGACAGCTCAGTGGTCCCACAGTGCTGCGCTCTGCGCCCGCGGTGTCACAGCTGAGCACTGGGACACAGGCATCACTGCCCCGGGCTGCGGCAGCAAAATCCCAGTTTTCCAGCTCCTGCACTGGGAGGCTGTGCCTGCTGCCAAAACCGGGTCAGAACGACACTACACTGAAGGTCCATTCCTTTCACTTTCTGATCATGAGGTCTCCAAGGGATGTTTTGGGGGCTGGTTTCAAGCTTTCCCAGCCATCAGTAGCACTGTAAATTCACTTTTTTTTTTCTTTTTTTTTCTTTTTTTCTCTTTTTCTTTAAAGCAGTTTTTATCCTGCTTGGCAGCTCTCTGCCTCTGCTCATCCCTGCCCTTTCCTCCTCCTGGAGCAGCCGCAGCACCCAGAGGCACCAGCACCACAAAGGGACGGCCGTCGGGCAGCGCCCGCGGTCCTGCCGCACGCCTGCCTGCATAAATGAGGCTTTTTGGTTAATTAGCAAATACTGTGATGGGCGCGGGGCTGGACCACGCTGCCGCCCTGCTCCCATGCTGCGAGCTGGTGTGTAAGAACATGCCGGGGAGCGGCGGGAGGGGAGCGGCGTTAATGCCAGGCTTTGCTGTAGCGTTAGCTCTTGCCAGGGCTGGGGAACGGGGTTGGTCTGGCCCTGAGCGCCTCCAAGCCTCGGTGCAGCGAGCCGCTTCTCTCCTGCATGTTTGTCATTAAAAGTTCAGGAAAGGAAAACTGTTTGACCCGCTTTGTGCCAGATTCCAGATGGTTTGTGTTCTCTAATGATATCCCCCAGTCCGTCAGCCTCCCGTGCCTGGCAGCAAGCGGCCGCTGCAGCACGCAGCAGATACCCCTGCGAAACACCAACGAGCTGGTTTGGTACTAACCGGGCAGAGCGGGGTTAGCAAAGTCGCACCCACGGCTGTTGCTGTGACTGCAGCTCACGCGGTAATGGGTGGCAGCTACGTGTACAAACACACGGATTTTCTGGACGTGACCAGGTATTCCTTGGTCTTTTGCAAGCAAGGAATCACTTGCCAGAGGACGGGGTTACTGCAGCCCGTCACCATTTAGCCCAAGGCTTGTTTGCGGGGGGGGAGGGGGCGCTCTGTGTCCGGCCGGGAACATGGTGGGGTCCTTTCAGGAAACGTTGAAAAGGCTTGGAGTGATTTAGGCACTCAGTTTCCCTGGGAGTTCAATTAAACTCGGAAAATGACCCCGGGAGCCCTCGCCAGGACGCGCCGGTGTCATGGGTTCATCAGCCCGGCTGTGGCGGGCGCTGGCTGCCCACGGCCAGCAGAGAGCTCGTTGCTGGCGTGGATTTTCTGTACTTTGGAGTCTCAGGAAGCGCAAGCCAGAGGGGCTGCTCGTTGGCGGGGTCTGAACGTGCTGCGCTGCCGATCCAGCTCTCCTCGTCCTGAGGCTAAGCGCAGGCAGGCCGAGGTTGGGCACAGCGGGCTGTGCAGAAGGGTGGGTGGCCGCTCAGCTCCTGGGGGGGCACGTTTGCTTCCCTTTGCTCTGAGGCCCTCAGCTGCACAGGGGGCCAGCTTTAATTTTTCAGGCCTTGGGATCTCTGTCCGCTAACTACGGAGAGGAGTTTTGTTTTGGAAGCTGTGCTGGTCAGTCCCACAGCCCACAAGGGACCCAAACAATTCGAGTAAAGCTGCCATCAACAACTTCTGTGGCAGGAGAGCGGCTTTAATCACAAACTACAGCAAGAACATCCCAGCCACTTGCAAACAGAAGATAGACCCCATTTTGCCGAATAAATGATTTATTACAAGCTGCTCAGCGTTTGGCTGCCAATCCAAGCGGCCGGCTCACCCAAGACAGGTTCATCAGCCCATAGCTGTTGCATTGCTTTAATAAAAGAGCTTTGCCTGATTAAAAAAAATGGCAAGAGCAGTTAATGATACCCTTCAGTGGAAAACCCTGCAGCCTCTCAGGTTTCTGCCACCAGCTGGAGCTGGGCTGTGTTTAAATGCCCTAAGAGCCAGCACTCCTAGAACGTCACTTCATTCCTGAGCTCTGTTCTGTGACTTAGGCAGCGGGGCTGATCACAGCTCTACTTCTCCACTGCTGCTGCTGCTGTCTCTGTTTCTCTCCTCCAGGCTTCATGCTTGTTCTTCAGACAGGTACAAAAGCAGCTCTGAATTTGTTCGTGCTGCAGTGGGGATTTTGCTGAGCGGCTTCACTCCACCTGGTCCTTCCTGCAGCACCACGGCGCAGCAAGCCCGGCTCACCTGATCCAGGGATTTGTCACCCCAGTGCCAACGGCCAGCGCTGTTTCGTAGCCCTGCTTCTTGCACCGTGCCACCATCGAGTGGCATCGCAACCAGACACCCTGCATCCGCAGAGGCCAAGCAGGGTGAGTGGGATTTCTGTCCTTGCTCCGCTCGGGGTAGCGTGGGTGCAAAGAGCGATTTCATCCCATGCGGCTGGTGGGAGCACTCTGCTGAGGAAGCGTCAACACCAGTGTTGGACTGGTGAGGTTTCTCCCACGTCATCCTGCTCTGCTTCTCGCTGCAAGGAGCAGAAGTGCGCTCGCACCTCGTGTGCTTCTGTGGCTCCATCGCTTGAGTCGCCCCTTGGCTTTGAAAGGTGCAAGGGAGGAGGGGGGGCGGTGGGGAGGGGTGCAGGGGGAGAGAGTGCAGGAGAGCAATGCACACACACACGCACACACCCCCCACCCCCCCTCCGGTGGCGTTTCCAGACATTCAGCCCCTGGGTGTTTCCCCTGTCTGGGGTACGGACATGAGACCCTTTCCCACAGCCACTCAAAATCTCCAAATCTTTGGGTTGGGAAAGCAAAAGCCAATTAAATACAACCATTGTCACAGCTGTAAATTAGGTATTACACAAATCATCCCATGAAATGAAACTCGGGTTTTGGCTTTTTTTTTTTTTTTTTTTTCTTTTATCAGGGCATTTAAGTAAGAAAATGTCTTTTTGGTACTGAAAAGGCTGAGGTCGCTTGTTACCTGATTAAAGCACGTTGAACCTGAATGCACTGCATGGTGCTAACTGAATAATCAAGGTAAGCAGGGATCTTTCAAATCCTCAAGCAAGAAAATTCAATTAGATGGGAGAGATTCAATTATGCTTTAAAGGGAACCTGGCTACGAGCATGCAGGCTAGGGCAGGAAAACGTATGCAAAAGATTTCATGGAAAGGAGCAATTATTTTCTCAATGTTATCAATGTGCAAAGCACGATTTGTTCATCAGTCCTGAACAGGACTTTTAAGACGCTGCTACATGGGCTAGGATGGATTTCAGCTGACCGTGAAGGCTGAGCGCATCAAGCAGGTTTAAGTGGGTTGGATTAATGTCCATGCAGGTGTCAGCCAAGGTTTTGGTCCAGTGACCTCGGGATGTTTGGCCTTGGACAACGGATGCTGTAACAAGGACGTAGCATGTTGGCAGCAAGTATCCCAGTCCCAAGTAATTAAGACAAGGTTTTAGAAATCAAATTGGTTTAGAGTCTGAAGATGCTGGTGCCTCCTCCCCAGCACCTCTGAGCGCGTTACTTCAACAAAAAAGCACAGGGAGAAGTCAAACACTTTGCAAAAGAACACAGACATTGAATTTAATAAATTATAAAATTAAAGATTCTAATTTGTATATACATTTTTAATATACATGAAATGGCTATTTATTGCAATTTCTGTTAAGGCATATGTGAGTGGAAGTTGCATATAGATACTCAGCTGAACATAGCTAATACTGTGCACTGTAGGTGAGTAAATACGACATTAAATGCGTTGCATAATAAAATAAAACATAAACCCCTTTGAGCACCGGTAAAGCACCTTTTCTGGAATTCCCAAAATATCTGAAAGCGTTCTATGGAGATGTTGTGAGACTCTAAATACTGAATGGATCTATGGATATAGAAAGTGATGCGTTCATAATAGATTACAGAATTTTGTAAAGGAATGTTGGTGAAAAAAATGGCAGTAGATTGGAGCCAAAGGAACCGGAACTGGTTTGGGATTTTTTTTTTTCCATGAGGGGCTGTCACTTGGATTTCAAGTTTGGACCAACAGAGAAATGACAATTCAGAAAGCTGTGTACTTGCATGGTTAGATCACAAAATGCATCGCTTAATGGGAGCACATTGCTTTAGCACTCGGGTCCCCGAGACGGTCTCGGCAGGAACACATTTACTTATAAATCTGCTTTAGTTTCTGGGGATTGGGTTACATTGAAATACCATTCTCTGCTCATTAGGTCTCAGAATGCAGGACCTGGGAAACAGCGAAATGGTTACAGAAGACCCGCTACGATGCTGCTCTTGCCCAATTACAGCACTGTAGAAAAGAGGAAACAGGATTCCAAGATCGACCAACCAAAGAAAGACCAACACTTCTCCCGTGTGACAAGGAAAGATCAGCTGGGACCAACCCCCCCCCATCGCCTTGGGCTACTTTTTCTCTATCTGTAGAGCTCTGCTCTGTGTTTTTTCAGTGGAAGTGAGGTAACCGGTCTTAAGAAACCACCATCATGGGGAACTGCTGAAGGAAATACCTTCTCAAAAGCTCACGCCAGCTCTCCTGGTCTGAAGAGACCCCCTCCTCCCCCTTGTACAGTAAGAGGGCAGGAAAGAGAAGGCAGCTGTAAGGAGAAGGTGGCTCTGCTCCACAAGGAGATGGACCAGTCTGTATCCATCGGTGTCTCACTGTCCTGAGCAATCTAGACTGAAGTTGCTCCTTCAAATACAATTTCAGTGTTCCCCACATAACAGCTAGAAAAATATTCAGTATTTCTGAATCAGCGAGAAAGCAAGCAAATTGAATCACCCAAAAGGTGAGACTGAGAAGGGAGCAAGCCCTTCCTAAATGCAGATGCCAGCAGGCATTGCAGCAGGTCCTAACGAATGCCAGACCTAGCGTAGCACCACACCAGCCTCCTGCGAGGCTGCTCCAAGATGCAGCAGAAGTTTCCACCTTATCTGGAAAAATGCGTTTGGTTTGTGTGATTGCGAACTGACTCACTCACCAAAATCAATTCCTGCCCCACTTGCTACTGGGACACAGCCCAGAAGTCTTTTGGCCAGAAGAGGCTATTTATTTGTACGACAGCACATGAGTTGTGGGCGCTTCCTCCTGTGGCATCTCTTCACATTGCCAGGCTGGCTAAGCCTAGTCCTGATGCTAAGGAAAGCCAGAAGCTATTAGATGGGTTATCTCAGGCTTCTGGCAGTCAGAGAAACGGGTCTCCACAAAGTCCTGGAGAGCAAGACTGGTACCACCCAGGCAGCAAACCCCTACCTCCCCACTTGCGTGACTTCAAGCCCCGACCCCTCCCTACCCTTGGGTTTGTGAGGGCCTAAGTTTATCGTATGTTTGAATGTGATTCTAGGCTATGAAAAAGCTGGGGGTTGTGTTTATTTTTATTGTCCACAGAGCTAAAAGTAAGATAATAACTTGAAGGGGAAGAGAGGAGTTTCACACTAATCCCATCCGTATAAAGGGAATGTGGAAGGCAAGGAATACTCAGTGTCTACAGGCTGGGCGCCCAGCTACAGCTTGTGTCTCCCACGGCACAGCAGCTGGAAGGATTTAGACACATCTTCCTTGCTTATAAATAGCGTGGTGGGGTTTTTTCCCTTCCCTGCTCGTCACTACATTGCTCTGTTCTGCACAGATGTGACCTGACCCCATGGTATTACGAAAACTTGTCCTGTCTGTAGGCACAAGGCTCCTGGGGCCAGCACCGGGCTCGTCCCTGCATCGTGGCAATGGCAGGCAGGCCAGGGAGCAGGGCTGGGGCAAGCGAAGGCTACCGCACGGGCAACTAAAGATAAGCAACCTTCGACTGCAGGAAAACGCGTAGTGTCTCTCAAGTTAAAGCCAGAGGTGAGACCCCTGCCCCAGCCAACCACTGCTCGGTGGTGCCAAACTGTGCAGCTTTAGCTTCAAACCCTGGACTTTTGCTAGGCCCATTATGCTTCCCGGTCTTCATGGTCTCCAGTAGAACTCTCACCCCTGTACCGTCTGGGCTGGTCCTGAACACCCACCCAAGCATATCACCCCGGTCCTCTGCAAGAAGTGATGCTTGATGCCATCACACCAGCTGAAAACATCCCTTCTCTGCTTTGGCTAGTATCTCCATAAAGTATTTCTCTTATAGCAGGTCTTGTCCTTCGATGACTTCTGGCCACAGTTCGGGCCAGAACAGTCCAAGGCTGCTGCTCCTGCAGGACTCGCTTCTTCCAAAGAGGAGACCGGGCAGCTCATTCAGCCACAGTGGCCGAGGGCAGAAGTCGGGGTTGCAGGAGCCACAGAAGAGCTTGCACATTGCTGGAAGCCCAGCACATTTCCAGTAATTATGTGACTGTGTATACAGGCTTATCACTGGTGCTGACCCAAACCGAGACCAGCTCAGGCTGGAGGATGAGATCTTACGCTCAGACTGGAAAAGCTGAACTAGGAGCCATCAGACCTACCTAGCAGTAAAAGGAGGATTTCAGGGAAGCCCTGGTCTCTGCAGGATGTTTTCCAGCAAAGAGGAAACAAATGGAAGAGTCCAAGCCAGGAGACAGGAGACAAACTGCTCAGATGCTACCCACAGCAGGAACCAGTGCACGCTCCCCGCCTCCGAGGGGCTAGAGCCAAGCTGAATTCATCTGACCTCCAGCCAGGAATTCAAAATGACCTACGAGAACCACGATGACCCTGAGGGGAAAGGAAGTACTCAAAGGGTTGTCAGGTTACACATCTAAAGCAGACCTGGTTCTGCGAGCACGTGTGTGTGGGTGCATGTGTGTAGGTAAGGGCACAGCAGTTGTTCACTTCTGCACCATTAAAGCTGTCCTAAGGAAAGGAAGAGAATACAAAATTGTTTCCTCCAAAATAACCTCATCCTATGGGAAAAACACCCCAATGTTTTCTTAAAAAAAGCACCAAAGAAAAGGCAACAAGAACCCAGTCATCTTTGAGTTAACCAGTATGGGGGTAGAGAGAAAAATCAGACCAATAAAAAAAAAAAAAAAGCACCAAGCAATAAAGATCACTGGGGCTGTTGCATTACAGGAACTTAAAGACTACCAACCATATGGATAATTGTAAACAGGAAGACCAGGACCCTGTCAGTCCAAGTTGGCTGGATCTACCCTACTAAATGTCTTGCGAGTGTTCAAAAGTTTCGGAGAATCCTTTGAAATTGTTTATGGAAATATGTAAACTGCTGTTTGCCAGTTTTTAATTTACACAGAATTTTCTATGTATTGTCTTACGCGGTCCCCATCAGGAAGCCGTGCGAGCACAGGCCTCGCTCAGCGTCAGCCGAGCTGCCCGGCACGTCCTTCCCTGCCTTCCCGAAGCGGGGCTGAGCTGGTGCCCGGCTTTACGTGATGCACAGCAGCATCGCAGGCTCGCTGGCCTCCTGATCGTCAGTGTTAAAGGGATTTACTGTGTCCTGGGACTGCTCTCCTCCACCCGAAGTGTAACTCCCATTGCTCTTCCCAAGCAGTTTTACACAGGCATAGGAGACTTAAAAGAGCCCATAAACAAGAAACCTGCTAGCCCGGCCTAGGTGTGACGGCTTGTTTGATTCGGTGGAACGCTCTCACGATATTGCACTAATACGCGACCGCACCCTGCAAACCCAGCCCTCCACGTGTTCAGAGTAGCACTGGTGAACCAATCTCTCATTTCCATTTGTAGTAGGCTTTAGAATTTGGCATCTCTGCCATAGCACCACTTTGATTTCCCCCGTTTTTAGTCTCTACGACACAGGCAATACTACGACGTCGGTAACATCTCTATAAGAGAAAAATGTTGTTTGTGCCTAATTTCCATTTTAGTTTATTTTCCTAAGAGTCTCTTTTTTCCTTTTCTCAGCAATCAGCTCCTGAATTCTTTGATTCCTTGTCCTTTCATAAGGTATTCTCCTCCGTGGAATGATGTTGTGCTGCGACACTTCATTATCCAGCCGATGGATTTTATAGGGAACATCCACTGCATTGATTTCTGGGTGCTCCTCAGTCGCGTTGGCAGGAGGTGCACGTGTTTTGGAAGCGGGAGGCGGGCTGGTGGCAGATGGCGTGGTGGACACTCCCATGGGAGGGCTGGGGGTTGTCAGGAGCTCCTCCTCAATGACATTATTCCTGTTTCCATTAGAGCCAGTTACGCCGTCGTCCTCTGTTGCGTTGCTGTACGCGTTACAGGACTTGCAGCACAGCCTGTTGTACCCGGGAATCGAGCAGTAACGAGAGAGAACCTCCATGCGACAGAACATGGACTTGTCTCCTTGGCAGTGATCTTCTGAAAGAGAGAAAGGGCGCAGATTAAATAAAGAGCATCTTCACGTTAATCAGAAAGAGAAACACAGCTGAAGCTTTGGCAGCGGGCAGAGGGTTTGGTATTTAAAGGGGGATGGGAAACGGGCAAATGAGCCTTCTATAAGCAGAACCAGGGCTAACATTAAACCTAAACCTCAACTCCCTTCAAGGGATGCAAAAGCTGATCCGAACTGTTTGAACCAGACCCATCCGTGCTATAGACCCTCACACTCTCATTTTCGCCTTCGCATTCTGGAAGTGCCACCCCGAAGCCTGTGCAGCCCCGATGAATTGCGTCCCTGCCTTGGCTTAGAGTTCAAAATGCAGCAGTAGGGCTGTGTCGCTGCTAAAGCTACAGTAACTCCCCCGAAAGTTATCCAGGCTTACATTGAGAAATCCCTTCTTCCCCACTTGGCTCCTGGTGTTTCTCTGCGATCTAACGGTGACTGACCATGGCTGGGGTAATTTATATTTATATGGACAGTCTCAAGAAGGTCCAGTCTAATTTCGATTGGTGCCGTGTAACTCTCGGAATTAATCCACCTCCCATCGGAGTGACATTTTTCACAGAATCACAGAATCGTAAGGGTTGGAAGGGACCTCAGGAGATCATCTAGTCCAACCCCCCTGCTAAAGCAGGCTCACCTAGAGCATGCTACACAGGACTTCATCCAGGCGGGCTTTGAATATCTCCAGAGAAGGAGACTCCACAACCTCCCTGGGCAGCCTGTTCCAGTGCTCTGCCACCCTCAGAGTGAAGAAGTTCTTCCTCATATTTTTGCCAGATACCTCTGTTCTGAAAAGAGCAGCAGTGCCCGAGCATGTCCCCTGCTCCAGAGAAAAGCAGTGCATTTAGCATAAGGCTTTTCTCCTCCTCCTAGAAGGGAGCTGGTATTTTCAGAACAACAAACTCCAGTGCCATGAAGCCAAGCCAGTCCATTAATGACTGGGAGACTCAGTAATAAGTCCCAGTTTTTGTGCCACTGACTGGAAAACTGTACTAAAAGAGAAAGAGCAATAATCAGTAGGTTTTAAGCTGCTGACAGCTGTTACAACAATCTGCGCTGTAACAGAGGTGTTATGGCAGACCCTGATCCTGCCGAAATACAGGTGGCAAGGTGTAGGCTCAGGCGTTAAGGGTGAGCTGGTGAACCGGTACCACTGTCTGAGAAAGAGAACCAGGCGCCTACTCGGAGGATACTCAAGCCCTTGTGACTTCTGCTCGGAGGCGGTAGGCGACCATGTGAGCTGGTGGCAGATGCGTGGTGAGGGGCTGACAGGCTCCGTGGAGAGAAAGCTCCCCGTCCTGCGTCCGACATACACGCTCCACGGCTCCGGCGCCTCCAGGCTGAGGCGATGGAGCCAGGAGCCGTCGGGAACTGCAGTGCAAGAAAAATCCCAACACACAGCCCGTGCTGAAAGGAAGAGGAGTCAGAGGGCCTGTGGGAGAGGAGAGGGCTGGGGGGAAGGCAGCCTTGACCAACGCTCGGCGCGATCGCTAACCAAGTATTTTCTCTGTGACCAGAGTGCTGAGACAGGGATGAGCTCTCCTCTGCCTCCCTCCCTGCTCTTACTACCTCTCCACCCACTCTCACAGCAAAGGATGCGTTACTCCAATTCCTCGCCCTGTTCAGCGCTCACCGATGGCAGACCGCGCGCTCAGCCAGCGTGCCGATGGAGCTCGTGCTTCGCCATCCTGCTCGGAACACTTACCCTGTCAGCAACCTTACAGCACGGCAGGGACCAGAGCAGATGCAGAGATACCAAGTGAACTCAGAAAGTGCCGGTGCCGCCTCTTCACTCACCCTCAGTTAACAGAACAGGGCACTGGAGGTGTTTAATTGGCAAACATATCAGTCTAAAATAAACCCATAACTGTTGCTGCTGCTCCAAAACGCTAGTGCTGGCCGAGGGAGGTGGAAACACCCTCCTTGTGTTGTATTTATGCCCCAATTGTTGCATTTGTTGCAGAAAAGCAAAATTCTGGTTCCCGTTTTCAAACGTGTCAATTCATGTTCCTATTCTTCAAATGCTAAACTGACAGGCTGCTGGAAATAAAGAACAACTCCTCCCTTAGGAGCCCAAGAACAGCACCCTGGCTTTGGGGACATCTTCAAACCAGCCTTTAAGAGCTGGAACTGTTCATATCTGTACGCACAACTCCACGCAAAGGACTGCATGTGCCTGTTCAGCTCCGTATGCTTCCTTACCTAGCACGCAGCGTCCCCTCTGCGCATCCTGCCTGGTGCTGCAGGACCTTAGTGCAAGCGTCTCCAAACGGCTCCCACAAAAAAAACCCCACCAGCCACAACGTTTAAATGTGGTTTCAGCAAGGCAGATCTGTTCTTGGCCTTGTAAGAATGGCTAAAAGCACCTTTAGAAAAATGCCTTTTTTTTTTCCTATCAAAAATGCATAATGTCGAGCTTAAAAATACATGAAAATAAAACTGCATTATGTAATATGTTTAGTGACAGCTGATAAATTATATAAATAAACTCTGTAACTTGTGAATGTCAGAATGAAATTTTTATCCTCTATCCAAACCAAAATATCCAGATTTGCTGAACTTTTATTTATTTTTACTTGCAGTATGCATGACAGACTGGAAGTAGATCTTCAAAACATCAGTAAGAAAAAAATCAATCAGTTTCACAGTCACTTTGGTACACATCAGTCTCATAAAAAAATATTGAAAAGCAAACTGAATTGGCACATCTTTAATATTATGTTAAATACATACAAAACACTAATAAAATATCCCTGATAAACCAAAGTGCATATAGACATAGTGCACAATGCCCAGATACCTTATTGCACCATTCTCTATAGCCACCCATCTCTTGAAACACCACTAAACATCGTCTATTTAAAGGTAACAGTCATGAATATATTGATACAGTTAAACACCGATTATTTTACATAACAGTATTCAGTGCCAGATACGTGTCTTTGCTTTTTCACCTTGTCATGTAAATTGTTAACATGTTCCAGGAAATTATCGTATTAACAGCGAAATTTAAGTATGTGATCACATGATAATGACAAGTTTGAAGTGCTACACCGTGGACGACCCAAAGGTTAAAAACCGCCACGTGTCCAAGGGTATGAGCAGCACAAAAAGGTAGCAACTTGCTCCAAGGCTGCGGCTTTAGGGTTGGTACACCTCTACTGTCGGTACTACTGCCACAAACAGGTCTATGACTTGGGAATTCCAAATCTTCAACACAAACACGGAAGGTGAAGCAAGAATTCCAGTTAAATTTCAGTAAGTCAGGTCACAACCCTGTCTTGATGAAGATATGGATATGCACTGTGCAAATTAACCTCGGACTGGATTTACTGCCTTCTAATAGTCATCATTCAAGTAAAAACACTTCATATGAAGGTTAACTCAAGGTACCAGTGTACTGTTCATATTTAAAGCTGGATCTGGTAAATTAATGCCATTCACATTTCAACATTAAGGCATTTTTCTAAAATTCTTCTTCTAAGCAAAAAAAGCAATAAAAATTGAGGTAATTCTGTAGTAGTTCACACTGTTATGTTTGCCAGTTGACACATCTATAGAGCACGCACACGCACGCACACATACGACCGCACCAGTCAAGTCAGACATGCACATGGTGAAAAAAGACCAAAGATGTAATGAGTATAAACAGCTCCACGCTCAGCAGCTGGAGACGTCGCAGTCAATGAAAACCCTGTATTGCCTCCATCAGGTTAAGGAAAACACCTCCACACAACCCCAGCACGGACCACGCCTATCCCCCTTCCGTTTTGTTTCTAAAGCGAAAGTATGCAAAACTGGCAAAAATTGCGCAACAGGAAAAACGAACGCAGCTTTTCTCAAGGAAAAATATTTCAAACCACCACCAGGAGTTTGGCGAGAGCGGGCGGCGTCATAGCAGCACGGAAGGTACTGACCGACACTGAGCTTCTGCTCCCCAGCGAGCCCTCCACGGGTTGCAAACATAAACGTGAGGGTCAGGAATTGTCATTGTCATGAGCAGCAAGGGTGAGCAAAGCAACGGCGCCGCAAAGGAGAATGGAATGAAAAAATTCTTTCACTCACCAGACCTCTCTGCCAGTGAACTGGAACTAGTGGGTTATGAGACTTAGGGGTTTAGGTACAGGAGAACTTTAGCACTACAAGGTGTCATTATTGTGATGTGATCACATTCACAATAAGTTCTCAGTTTTGCTACCAGACTGAACGTCACAAACCAGTAAGAGCCTTTTTTCACCATCACCAAGCAACAAGCAAACCGACCCCAGCTCCCTTTCAGAGGACTGCAACACACTGTGGAGATCCAACTTCACACATCCAACACTTTTCAAGACCTCCACTACCAGTGCTACGCAAGCTCCAGAGAAGACAGACACCGAGCACCAAGTGCCTGGTGTGAAAAAAGATTCAGCCCAAGATTTAAACTTGGCAAAGTCAAGGGAACTTTCCGCATAGAGAGAAGAAGAGAGCAAAAGGCAAAGTCCACATTCGCTGTGGCATGCATTTAAGGGCAAAGGCAGAGTTATAAATGGGTCTTTTACTTGAAGATATTTTCTGGATGGGGTAGTCTGGATCAGGTCTTGACAGCCATTGTATCATGTAGGTTTTCTTTGAAGGATCAGAAACGTTTCCTTGAATAGAAGGAAAAAGAGATGTAACACAACATACGTTAGCATTGACCTGTGCCAATACGTTAGCAGTTGACCTGTCAGAAGTGGATGAGCTGAGAGAGCGAGCGGGCCCCAGTGGTGAGGGAGCCTGGGAGGAATTAGGGCCAGGCTGTGTAGTTTCGGGCAGATGTGGTGTTTTGCCAGTTTGCTACAACTTGTGCCCAGCACTCGACAGCCAACCCTGCAGACAGCCTGAAGGCTGGTTCTGCAGCATCACTTCTCACAGCAGCGCTGTGTCCTACGACCCATCCAGTCTAGTTCAGTTATACTGCCCCTTTAAAATCTTGGCATTGGAGACCATAATGGACAGCTTGTTTCTAATTAATTAGGAATCAAAAGCTACCCTGAGAAATACATTAAGAATAAAAGAAAAATAGAAATTGTTTAATAAAAGGAGTATGATAAAATGATCTCACAAGTATCATTTGCAAACAGCTGAAAAGCTAACAAGGATAAAGGCATTAGTGTCCTGCCTTAAGCAGAAATGAATTTGTTATAGCTTTAAAAAGTTGTGTGAGATAATCCCTGAAGATAACTTGTGCTTGACAGAAGGGAAAAGAAGCCTGGGACTGCTGCTGGAGGTGGCTAAAACAAAGAGGCATCTTCATACACAGCACCCTTGATGAGCCACAACCTGGCAGCCTCTTGCCAAGCCCAGCACGTCTCAGCGCTGCTCACCCCGGGGAGCTGCGTCTGCTGGCCAGACCCAGCCACCACCACTGTGCTAGGTCTGCCCCAGCCGCTCGCGCTGTCAGAGGGGACCCACCACAGGCCCAAGGAGCCCATCGGCCACACAACAGCTCTACGTTTGGAAACCTTGCTCAAAACCGGGGCTATGGAGAACTGCCCCCCCAGGCAGACGCGCACCAGTATAAATGTGAGGAAGGCATTTCATGTAAATACAGTCAGTGTTATTCTTTTCAGCAAGCAATATACACTAGAGAAGACAAGCACTTACTTGGACACGGAGGTAGTCTGCAAATCCTTACGGTCTCTGGTTTATTTTCTTTACAAAGGCCAATGGCATTGTCCCTGGTCCGGCACAGAACCGGCCGATCCTGCGTGCCGTTGCCACAGCTGACAGAGCACTGAAAGGAGAGGCACCAGTTAGACCCCCCAGCCACCCTTTAGAAACAGTGGATTAGAAATTAGTTTTTAAATTTTAAACTGCTGCCCTTGATTTGAGTCAGTGTGCTACATTATCTGAACCGCCGCAGTACCTACAGTAGCTAAGCAGGAGGGAGATTATTGCGGCACACCAGTGAGAACCACTGCTCACTGCGGCACACCAGTGAGAACCACTGCTCACTGCGGCACACCAGTGAGAACCACTGCTCACTGCGGCACACCAGTGAGAACCACTGCTCACTGCGGCACACCAGTGAGAACCACTGCTCACTGCGGCACACCAGTGAGAACCACTGCTCACTGCGGCACACCAGTGAGAACCACTGCTCACTGCGGCACACCAGTGAGAACCACTGCTCACTGCGGCACACCAGTGAGAACCACTGCTCACTGCGGCACACCAGTGAGAACCACTGCTCACTGCGGCACACCAGTGAGAACCACTGCTCACTGCGGCACACCAGTGAGAACCACTGCTCACTGCGGCACACCAGTGAGAACCACTGCTCACTGCGGCACACCAGTGAGAACCACTGCTCACTGCGGCACACCAGTGAGAACCACTGCTCACTGCGGCACACCAGTGAGAACCACTGCTCACTGCGGCACACCAGTGGCCGTGAAATGCTCCGAGGAAGAGCTTATGGTCTGAGCAATAAGGAAACAACTGTAAACATCCCTCAGTGTGCACCAGGGATGGCATTGCTCGTGATACCTGTTCAACCCAGAGAGGACAAAAGTTGTTTGTGCTTATTTGCATGGCCCAGTTTCAAAATAAAATGTTGTATCTCCAAATCCAGCCATGTTTTTAAAACAATTTAATGGAGAAATGCTGAGATGGACTGTAAGGATCCTGTATACCATAAGAACAATTTAACGTTGCAATATTCCACTCACATTTCTTGTCCTTTGGTGACTACAAAGGTTTGTGAATACGCATAGATGGAGCTTCACACAGTCTGTGCGCAGCCACATGGCATTTGTTGCTCACACAGTGACTGAGCCAAAGAGCCAGGGATGGCAATGGCAAACAAAAAAGGTTCATGAATTGTCCTTTGGGTTATGGACAGGACCTTAGGAGGCTAAGCAGCTGAATCTGCTAAAGGCATTTACACCGAAGATGCTCGCGCCGTTGAATCTCCATACATGTTGGTGCCTAACTTCTGTAGGTGCCCTTCATCACAGGGTCTGAAGACTTTAAAGTCTTCTTTACTTGCAAGAAAATAAAAAAGTGGCAAAAGAATTAACTGCCCTTCTCTCAGCTTATGTCAACAGATAACTGACGGTGAGCAGCATGGCGAGCAGGTAGAAGCCAGTTTTCCTGGTGCTGACATCTTGCACAGGCGGCTCACGGGGTCTGGCTCACCCAGCACCAGGGCAGGATGGCTCTACTGGCTGCTCCCTGCCACCATCTCTCCATCTAACCCGCTCTCTGTGGCGTCAGTAGCGGTGGAAGCAACGCACCCTCTGTGTGGGTACCAGCTTGCGGTGTCAATGCATCTGAATAGAAGGCACAGAACAGATGCCAAGATTTCTCCCCTGCCTTGTAAGAAATCGGCTGCTTTAGGTCTGCAGAAAGAGACTGACCTGTGACCAGGGTCCTGTTCTCCACTGCGCTGGGCAAAGCTCCCGGTTGCAAGGCCTCCTGCCTTCTGGACGGTTGTTGTTGCAGTACTTGGTATGAACAGACCGATTTGTATTATCGTGCAGGGGTTGGATGCATCGGACAGATCGTACTTGGTATCCTGTTTTCCCACAACTTTTGCTGCAAGGCTCCCATTCTCCTGTAACCCATCTGTGTCAGTGAAAAGAGAGCAAGCTGAGCAAAGTTCTCTCTCTCCTAAATCAGGTTTAACAGATATCTTTAAGACGATATGAAAAACCATAAGCCATTATGGCGAGCGTTATTTGACCGTGTCCCTGAAAAATCAGTAGTGAGACCCAGATCTTTAAAATGACTCTTTCTCATTATCTCTGAGATAAGCATTATTCTTACTTCGCTTCATTTGCTTTGGTTTTAAACTGACCCTCCCAAAACTGCACATAGAAATATGGTAGTTTTTATGTCAACAGCAGCCACCCACGTGCGCTGCTGAGCTTCCCCGGTGTCGGCACACGAGCTGGGCCTCGCCGCGTGATGCAACACGTGCCAGCTGTCCCCACAGCTGGTTCCCGCAGGAGTGAGTCCAAAACATCAGGGCTAGAAGTGCAGCTCCAGCCTAGCCCGTATCTGGACCATACCCCAGCCACGCCAGGCACCACCCTGGCAAACCCAGCTACGCCGTCAGTGCTGTGCGTGCCGAGCTGGGGCAAACTGGGGTCCTCAGCATCATAACTGTTTGGTTTGGGGGAAGGCAACACTCCACTGAAAATCAGAAGGTCTGAGTTCATTATGTGTTTGGCCACCGGAAAATGGAACCTGTGCTTTGTAACGTGGTGTAGTTGAAAACTTCGCTGGTCATCCAAACTGGCTCAAGAATTAGAGCTACAAATCTTAAGGAACCTAAGTTCCTTAAGGATCAGGGGAAATTTATGGAGACTACTGAAAGCTTGGTTATAATCAAGTAAGTGAAGATATATGTCAGTCTATAAATATTTACAGAATGCAGAGATCTGCAAGAGGAAATATTGTTCAGTATTCATGGGATAAGCAACCAAAACCCAGACATAGTCTGAAGAGACAACCCAAGTTTGAGGCAACTGTGCTAAAGTATTCATAAAATCCTGGGTCTAGAAATAGTCAAGAAATAGCACGGGCACAAGGCAACACACTAAGCCTGGAGGTAAAGCAAAAAGTAAAATGGCAATTGCACCAGCTCCCTCTCGGTAGCCTACTGAAGCCACACGGTGGGGTAGGAAGGCGAGCGCTGGGAGTGCAAAGCCATGAATCCTGCAGTGATTTCTGAGACACAGATGATTGTTTCCCAGCAGAGAAGCAGCAGCATTTTAGTGTAGCAGGCGCCAGAGAGCTTCATGAAACCTCTTAAATCATTGCCGCTCCTATGTGCAAGCTGCTCCGGTGCCATTCTATGGAAACAGAGGTGACTGAAACATTCAGGAATCCAACTACAATTTCGGATCCTACTGAGCCTTTGTGGTACCTGGGTCCAATTATATTTGCAGCTGAAAGAAGAGTACAGCCCTTTGCAGAGAGCCTGAGATATGATTAGGTCTTTACTTCAGTTTTCCAATAAACGAAGTTAAACCCTGACCCTTGCTGAGTTCATGGGGCACAGTTTCTGCAATTCTCTCTCTTTCAAATCTTTTTTAAAGGAAGTTAGGAAATACTGTGTGGTACGTTCTACGTATTTGCTGTGCTCCCTGGAATCTGCACTTGGTCCCCAGAGGTAACAGCTGGGATCGACAGAGGAATATAGGAATCCTACGTGTGGCAGGAGCAACCTGCTGCCAGCCCAAAAAAGCAGCTGTAACACATGAATTACAATGTTTATAACACTTGACTACGTATAGCAAAGATGAAGGTACACCAGGCATACCATGCTGTACGAGGGCAGCCACAGAAAACTAACAGGCCAAATATTTTTCCCTGGGTTTAGATGTTCAAAAATATGCTGTGAACTTTAGGAAAAATTGGATTCGAGAGGCTGTATGACACTGGTTTTCTTACTCTGCGAATTTGTTCTTACACGGTTAATTCACACTACGTAAAATCAACTGCTATAAATTGAATTTATGTCTATTTTTTCATTGCTTCAAGATGGCCTGAACACAAATGTCTGCATCGAGACAGCACTTCTTGTCTAATCCAACTTATTTCAGCAGTAATAGGAACCAGCAGTCCCAGAAATAGTATTACTACAAGCAGAACGTAGCACCCCATCCTCACAGCCCTGGGCCTCTGTAGCGGTGCACGGAGGCGAAGCTTAAGCCACCGTCTCTCAGCCGAGCCGCGCTGGCACGTGCCGTGCCTGCCACAGCTGCGCCGAGCAGCGCCGTGGGCAGGGATGCTTACATGGGCTGGGAGCACTCCTGGAGGTTGCACACCCTGCGAATGGGCTTAGGCTTTTGGATCAACTCGCAGTAGCTCCGATGAACCATCTTGTGGTCTGTCTTCCTCCGGCAGCCGTATTTTGTGAACTGGTAGCCTGAAGAAAGACACAGCTCTTATTCTCAGCACGGGCAGAGCCTACACAGTACTCGGGCTTCAGACAAACCGCACGCACGCTGCCGAAGGCTGCAGCTGGAACTACGGGTGAACACACTACAAAAGGAACTGTAAATTGCACCGAACGAACACTTACTCGCGTAGATTTGGCACCAGAATGGCTCATCTGCAAAGCGGCACAGCCACGCTCAGGGGCTGCCACCTGCCCCCAGCCCGGGGAACAGCACCAGTGTCACAGCTGGCCCCAGGCAGGGGTCTTCACATGGCAAGGTCCGCATCACAGCACGCACATTTACTGAGAGCTGCCCCATGGCACCCTCCCGGCTTGGAAAGCCTCATCCAGATCTTGCACATTCGTACAATTTTTCCGTTTCATAAACGTAAATCAGAAATGAGTCCCCCCAGATCGTGCCCCCCCCCCCAACCATTTAAGTCAGATTTTTAACTCCATTTGCTACCTATTGATCTATTTCTTTAACTTAAATAAACCCCTCCCATAATCATGGTCTCCCTAATGTCTTGTGGCAATGAATTCCACACATGGTGTTTGCTCTTTCAGTTTTCTCTTAATCAACTTAAAATACTTTGGGGGTTTGTTTTTACCTCCTCCACAAGGTTTTGAACATTGGGACCACTTCTTCAAAGCCCATTCATATGACACAGAGTCCTCTTCCAAAACATTATTGTTATCTACATTCAAGGAATCTTCATGAATCATGTACTTGTAAGTCAAAGATATCTTGGCACTACCATGCGGAATCACCTAGTAAGCAAAACAGATGGAGGGAAAAAAGATTAGAAAGACTGATATCAGAAGCTCTGTGAGATGACGTGAAACAGCAATCATCACGGCTTGGATATAAAAACAACCACAGAGGGATTTAAACCTTTTAGCTGCACTCAACACATTTTTTTTTCCCCTGGTGAATAAGTACCTCCATCCTTATGACACGGACTTTCTAAACTGCATGTTAAGACAGACTGCTGTTGATTTAGGCTGAGTTTTCTTGCCAGTATTGGACTGACTTCACGATACTAAATTTTTTCCATATCCCATCATAAAGGAAGGAAATGTTGTACTAGGATGATAACGGGGAGTTCCACTAAAAAGACAGAGCAAATTCAAGTGCACAGATAACTGAAAGCGGTGAAGAAAACTGCTTATTTTTCTGATAAAACACAAATGTTCTTATGGTAACCCTGGGGATGCTGTGAAGCTTGTTACTTACTCGTGACAGAAATGTAAACTATTTAGAAAGCGGTTTTGCTATCACACTGCACTAAGACAATTGTAAGAAAATGGAATTCAATGTGAATAAAGTGCAAAACATTGGTCCTTTGAAAACATAACATTTACTCCTGCTCTGACCGTCAGCTGGCGTAGCTCAACACAGCACGGCTGCTGTCAGAGGGGCTCTGAACCATCCTACCCCTGCTCATGGCAGCCTAGCGCTCGCTGGTTTGGAGCCAAAAAAGAATATAGCTGGGGGGGTTTGGGAACGCAGAGCTGGCTGTGCCCTGACAAAGTGAGCCAGGACGCATGAGCATCCTGCATCTGCCCTTGCAGGCTACACTTCCAAAACATGGCTGGGAGGAGGAGCTGTTCGATCCGTCTGATACAACCGTAAATGCTCCCGTGTCAGATACGGTGAGCGAGCTGGAGAGCCTGTGCAGTGGCCACTCGCTCGGTCACCCACAGGAAATAAATAGGAGAATTGGTCTCTCGACAAATAACCCTGCGTTATAAAAACTCTTGTACAGAGCAATGAATTAGAGGAAAGGAATTAAAATACATTTTCTATTCTCTTCTAACTGAAGCAGATGTCTTTTCGCAACTCACAAGAGGAATCTAAAATACATTATAGCACATTATGGCTGCCTAACCCTGACTTTGTGTTCCGTGGAGGATGGTTTTCATTTGACTTACCAGGATAACTATTCCGTTACGCAACGGCCCCATGGTCTGCACGGTTTCTCTGTCATCGTCATTCCGATATTCCCACTCCACACCCATGTCAATAAATAGTTTAGAGTCTGGCACATAGTTGTCTTCACTTAGAATTAATTTCCCTGTTTCACGATTTTTAATTGCTAGGAACAACAGAAGAAAAGTGAGCACAAGAAGTTCGCTTCTCATCTCGAGCGTTGCTCTACTCTCGTCCCAGGGGAAGGAGCAGAAAAGCCCAGTCTGCGCTTTCCCCATTCCCTCACGGGGACTTTTTCAGGTGTTTCACTGAACCACCCACGCTTTCCCAATCAGCTCCAGAATCATCAATTGTCCTTTTTTTCTCTTTTTCATAGCCTGCCTTGCCAGAGAAACGAGGCCAGCACGACCGCACCGCGTGGGTCCGTCTGCCTGCTCCCAGCTAACACCTTCGGAACCCACTGGCCAAGCCCGAGCCAATTTGGCAGCTGGTGGGGGTCCCATGGCTACTCAGCTCTTTGATGTGTCCTAAGGCCCAGGGGAGGAAGGCTGCGGAGCTCAGCCCCAGTGGGCCCCCACAGCAAGGGCGAGACGCTAGAAACAGTATTAATTTTCCTGCTCAGATCCAGCCCCGAGGCCGACAGAGCTCTGCTTAAGCTCCCGCTGCTTTGCTGGCGCCTGCCACCGCGCGCAGCGCCCCATTCCTCGGGGTGAGCTGTGACCAGTGCCCCATCCTTCACCTGGAGAGGCTTCAGCCGCCTTTGTCTAAGGACTCTTGGCTTTCTCCCGAGATGGAGAGTTTGCGCGCCTCATTAGAAGCAGCAGGGGCTGTTTGTTACTTACCACCCGATTTTACCCCCCTTCTCTCTCTAGCAGCTACCCGAGCATCCTGCTCCCTCCGTGCTGGCCCCGGCAGAGAGCAAGCTGTTCATGCCCCCCGTCTATCGCTCACCCCACACCAAAAGACGAACCTTGTCTGAGTCAGCGAGCCATCGCCCTCCCGATCCACAGGGCCAGGCTGCACTGAGTAGCAAGGGAAGTGTCCGCTGGCGAGAAGTTGGGATGGCTCGTGACACAATTAGCAGGCCATTCGCCGTGAATCTGCTTCCAATTAATACCAGCCCACCAGACACTGCTTCGCATTGACTACAGGGCGCTGCGAGGAGCAGCTTTCAATTGCTTCCTAAGCTGCGATTGATCGGGCAAGCCCTGCATCAATACTGTCAGCGATGGGGCAGAGCCTGAAAGGGATTTGGATGTGGCTGGGAAATGACTGCGGATGGGAAGCACGTTACAAGAGGTGCACACAAAGATAACGTGTGGCACCCCTGAATGTAATTCAGCTCCGATTCCAGCAGCTTTCACACATGCACGTGCCGATGCAGGGATCGCTGGCGAGAACACTGGGGAACACGGCACCGGGAAGTCAAATTGCCAAACAAGTTTCCTGATTTAACATACTTAAAGGAGGTACGTGGTGTGGGAGGATAACGGGTAAACAAATGCATAAACACATTGTGAGGCTCCAGAGACAAAAATAAGCAGCTGAAAAAAAACCTGAAAATACCGACTGAAAATTCTCCTCCTTGTTACCTACTTACCGAGATTATGACTGGTGGCATCTGTTTCCTGTATAAGCAAATGTCTCGCACCAACAGGGATTTCAAACATCTTAATGTGCCCTTTATTGTAGTATTTGAAAAGATAATAACTGGTTAGTATGCCACGAACAGAGAGCATCTGCCTTAGGTTTTTAAATAAGTCTCATTTTCTAACAGCAGGGCGTATTACAGCAGCTGAACCTGACCCAGCAGCATTCCCGTCCCCATCTCTGTGCCAGGTGACAGAACAGGACAGGGACAAAAGGCTTTGGGTCAGAAGAAAAATGCCTTTAGTATCATCAACAAACTGACTTTGCTTCAGACTAAAATGGGCTTTGCGTGCCATATGTGCCCACCGAGACCATGCAAGTGCCCGTCTGACAGCAAACGATGACATCGTGCTATTGCCGTAGCCCGGTGACTCGGACATGACAGCGAACGATGACATCGTGCTATTGCTGTAGCCCGGTGACTCGGACAGAGCGGCCGAGCGACACCAGCCACACAATCAAGTCCCCAGCCCTCCAAGGTGGAGCACTGACGCCCCCCACTATGCGTGCCCAGGCCCGGCATCAGCACACTTAACCAACTACGGGACAGAAGTCTTGTTTTCAAATTCTAGACACGTCTCCAAGTGAAGCCCAGAGAGTTTACTGGAACTGGTGATGCTGTAAATGACTTGTGGTTGTTCTGGTACGTTCAACGAAACGGAAGAGATCAAACAAAAATACCCTCAGCTCCCCAGGACAAAACGCAGGGAACGCACTGACCTTGTTTCTTTGGAACTCTTGAAAATGTTCCTTTCACCACTTTGCAGTGGGAATTATCTCCTCCACAAACACCACACTTATCTTCCTGCTTCGTCGAACCTATGACCCTGTCGCACCCAACTTTCTGTGCACAAGAGAGAAAAACAGTCATTCTTATGCGTCAGTTCAAATGAGCCTTCATTTCAGATACCAAAACCCAGGCTTCTGCTTCAGCAAAAAAGTACAAATTGTAGCATTCTCCTGGGAGACCAACATCTAAACAGATTCTAATACTCCCAGTTCTGATAATTGCTGCCAACCAGGTGATCATGGTGTTACACTATGCTTCACAGCGGTCCTCTTGCCGGAGGAAAGCAGCACGGTTGAGGAAAAGCTCTGAAGCCTCAGCTTATCTTACAGCAGATGCTTGAGTTCCAGGAGCATCAAAGCACCTATGCGAGCATAAGTACCTCCACCAGTGCCTCGCTTAGTCAGAGCCTCTAATTCTGCTGAAAGATGACCTGTGGCAGACCTCAACTTAGAGGAACGATCATTGATTTTTTAAAAATAGCAGGGTGAAATACAGAGAGAATGCACAGTGGCCACGTCTCAACACCACTTTCCTTGAAAGCTGCTGCACGCTCCTATTTCATCGTACATTCCACCCTCGCTGAACCTCAGCCGGAGAAGCTTTCGCTGAAAGCTAATGGCAATCGTTCATCTTAAAATACTGCATTAAGTATTCCCTGTATAGGCAGGCACTGCTGGAATTGAGTCACGTGCAGTGTGATGGCGACTGTGGGTATCACACACGATAGCGGGACACTAATCCTAACGAAATCTCCTTGGTGCCCAAAGCGTTACTCCACTGAAATGGTCGCTCTTGGAGAGAAACGCTCAAGCGACTGCTCTCTTTTCACAGCACTGAGCTCTGAACCAAGCCGGCTCAAGCTTACCAAGCAGTCTCCCCTCACACAGATGCTGTAGGCGTCTTTGTAGGAGCAGCGGGTGCCATCGTGCACCATCCTCTTCATGTACACCACGTCCCCCGTTTCCTTTGATTCGCAGTACAGGTGGCACCTTTCCTTAGCTGAAAAACAGAACGACCCCAATTGTGCGTGTTCAGCTCCAACAGTTCTACTGCCGACTTTGCGAGCAGCACTCTCGGTAGCGTCAGCGCTTTCTTCTGCCTTGCACACATGACAGGACACAGCACGGTACCCTGTAAATCACCGGTGTTTATCCCCAGTTTGGAAACTACCGAATCATAAAGAACCCATGTGTCATCATTAGGAGACAGCCTTAAAAACAACAGATCATTTACTCGGGGGGACGGGACGCATCTATTTAATCCTTTGTCAGATGACGCAATCTGGCCGAGGCTCCTGCAGTCTGCTCCATGACGGCCTGGACCGGTGCAGGTCTCTGCATCGGTTTCTCCTGCACTGCACTTAAATCTGAAAAAAGCAAAAGCCATTTTGCCATTAGAAGGAGCTGTTCAGCACTGAGTGAATCTGGCACCCAAAACGTCTTCAGAGGCAGCTGGGCCCACACCATTTCCTCCTAAACATGAAGTGACGCTTCCCGCATTGTTGCACTTGCATTTATGATAGCTTAATTCATTAAACAAGATGAGATGTCAATGAGATTCAGGAAAAAAAAAAAATAAAATTTTTGACTGCTGACACACGCACAAAGAGCCAGATAAGTGCACCTCTTTCTCCTAATCTGTTCCAAAAAGCTAAGAACAGAAAATAAAGCTGAACTGACAGGTAGTAGCTGAACACGGCCGTATTCCACCAGCGTATTTCACTTTACCAATAGCTCCGGCTGCCCCACAATAGGATTCACTATCCTCCCCTCGGCAGTGAGGAGCAGATGGCCTTTCTGTTAGATGAAATAAATAAGGATTCTGCTAGTTTAACTTGATTGGAAGTTGGGACACTTTTCCCACCATTTAAAACAATAATGACCTTTCCGTTATAGCAGTTCAATTAAAATAAATCTTCACAGGCTCTTTCTGTTCTTCCCCTGTACAGTTCCATGGCCTCTGTCCTCTTTTAATAAAGTCCTTGTTATTGCCGTTGATGTCCCCATGGCCACCGGGTATTGGTACCTCAGAGACCTTTGTTACTGCTCCTGAACGATGCAGTGGTGTCCCGCTAAAAACGCAGGGCCTAGGCTATTAAAGCAGGTACTTCACTTTTCCTGGGCAGATTCTTAATAGGGGACTATTAAGATCATAATAAGCACAGACCTAATGTACTTGCATACATTAGAAACGTTAAACTATGCACGGGGCATCGCCGTGTACACCCCCCCACCCTGCGTGTGCCCACGGCTGTCCCACACACCCCATGCCTCCGCCGTGCGCCATTAGATGACAGCACCCGAAGGTCTGACTGGGTGCCGACAACCTGTACAAAGGTTTTATTTTAGAAAGGCTTCTCTTCCCCTTGCTCCCTGGGAACAGTAAACGTGCAAGCATCGTTAAATTGGACCCTGTTCATTGCAAGGGATTATCTTCTTTCCGTTCACTGGTGTCGGGCACAGTAGAGGTGCAGGAGCACGGACGTGACCACGTGCCTGTCCGCTCCCTGGGCGTTTTCTTCTCATTTAATTGAGGCTGGGAGCTCACAGCTCATGTCGCAGCGCTGGGGTGCTCGAGCACACGCCGGCTCGGCCACTTTTCCCTGGCCACAGGAGGAGGTGCTCCTCTCCATCCCCACGGCATCGCAATGCGTCAGACACGTCCAGCCGGGCTGCGCGCCAAGCGTATGGGCTTAGGTCGCCTCCGAGCCACGGCTGCGTTATCTGCACAGTCTGTCACTGATACGCCTTCTCTTTACAAAAGGGGCTTTTGAACATGTTCGAGTTCAAACCTAATCCATCCTCTGGCCTTGTTTTCACACAAAAGCCGTTCCCTCTAATAACCCTGCTCTGGTAGATGTAACTCTCACCAAGGGGGCTGCAGTTATACCACAGTTACATGGGAAACCAGCAGCGCCCAGCAACCAGTGCTCAGACATCAGTGAGCCGGTTTCTGACCCAGAAGCATTGAATTTAACAGAAAAACATCTGATTAATTGCAGTGCTCTTTGCAGCAGACTGCTCCAAAGGCTAAAGCAGAAGCAAAGGTCTGCGGGCCACAGCGTTTGTCCCCTCTCCCTGGGCCAGCAAAGCTACTTCATGGAATTAAGCTGCGAGGCTGCATCTGTGCCTCTGAAAACCCCGGATTGCACAAGATGGCATGAAAAGAAGGAGGGAACCCTGAGAACTGTTCGGGAAGAAAGTCAGGCAAATTAATCACGAGGAATTTGTTATTAACTTCTGGCAGAGCATCCTCTCCCTGGAATGCAGACTGATTCACCCAAAGCGACCCTTCCCTCCTAGGACGGGCGCCCGCCCGGGGCAGCGCGGGTGCCTGGGACCTGCCCCTGGCCAGCCCTGCCCCGCAGCACCCACCGTGCGGATGAGGGCACCGCAGCCCGCGCTCCTCGCCAAGAGAGTTGGGGATCACCGTCCTCTACCTTTTTGTTCAGTAAAACCTCTTCTCGCCACGTCTTCAAGGCAACGTGGCAATAGCACGGCAGCAGCCTTCACGCCCCAAACCAAGCAGCAGTGCCTTCCCCGGCAGTTAAGCAGAGGCACCAACGGGAGAAGGACCCTGTTCGTCCTGCGAGGCGATCTCTGCTGAGATGCTGGAGCACCAGGCTGACCGTCCTGGTTCAGACCCAGCACCCATCCAACCCAACGCCTGCCCCCACAGCGCCAGAGTGCTTGCAGGAGGACGGGAGAATAAACCTGACACTTTTTCACAGAATAATCTCCAGACTCCTCGTAAACTGCAGCTTGGGGACTTCCTAGGTCAGGGCTGGAGCTTGGCAGTTAATAGTTCTTAATGGATTATAGAACTTTCAAGAATTTCTTTAAATCACTTTTAAAACTTTCTGGCATCTGCACCTTCCTGTGGCAATGAATTCCAGGGTAATTCTGTGCTGTTTGGAAAAGCACTTCCTCTTATTTGTTTTAAATCTGCCACCTGATAATCTTATTTGATGTTCCCAGGCTTGTGTTACGGGAAACAGTGAATACTGATTCCAGTTCTGTCTCTTCATGCCTCTCCCAATTCTGTAACTCTATCTTTTTAACCTAAATTGTCACTGAGGTTGAAAAGTCCTTGTTTATCTAAACTCTCCTTATTCAGAAGTCACCGCTTACATTTGCTTTATTCAGGCCTTTCTGAGTACAACTCCGGGTTTTTTAGCAACGGGATTTTATTTTTCATAGGAAAAAGAGACCACTCACCATCGACATGTTCATAGGGGAGCCAGTGGTGTTTCATGTTCTGGTACTCAAAGTAAGGATCCCACTGCCGGCACTGCTCCTCTCGGAAATCTTCAAAGTCCTTGGGACAGTCCTGACTGTTGCACAGCTGGAACTCATAGCTCGGCCCCACGCACGTGCGGCCCCCGTTGGCGGGACTGTGGGGAGGAGAGAAAGCCATCGTTACTTTTGCCATTAATGCACGAGTCAAGCACCTACCAAATCTTCTGAGGGGTAATGTAATTCCCAGTCATGTCACCTGATGAAGCCAGTGATGGGTTTCTGGTGTGGAAAATACATATTTCCTTTAAAAACCCGCTGTCAGTATTCAGCTCTTAAAAAGCAATTTCTGCAAGCAGAGCCTAAAACCCCTTGATAAAGGCAAGAAAAGGCATTTTCCTGCTGTGGCCCAGGGAGGGACAGCACAAGCAGAGGAAGCGGCGCGCTCACATTCACCCCGAGCCAGCAGCAAATCCCGGAACAGAGCCCAGCTCGGAGCTGCACCCCCCGGGCAGACGCGATCGGGTCGCTGTCGGACCCGACCACACAGCGCTCAGCAGTTGTGGCTGGGTTTGCACCCTCTCCCAGGAAGACAGAAAACATTTTGAGTAGTACATTAGGCTTTTCCCACATGAAAAAAGATTTTACAACTAAAGCTGTGCCCACAATTACAAAGGTTGCTTTCAGGCTGGCAAGATAAGAAAGGCTGAAATTAGAACACGTAAATGTTTTCTTAACAGAACAATTTCCTCCATAAAACTGGAGTGGTTTTTGTAGTCAATAAGATGATTTTTAACACTAGGCGAGTTCGATCTCTCTCAGCACAAACTGAGAAAGTCAATATTCTGTCTGCTAAAAACATTTAATTCTGACAACTGTGTCAGTCCTTGCTGTTAGGATCTTGACATTTTATGGTATCACAATTCAGCAATAATTATGCATTTCATATCATTTGTACATACCAGTTTATATTAAATATACTATACTGCCGGTCTCACTGAAGTAAGGTCACTCCATGTTATCGCCATATGTAAGTTACCAAAGCAAAAGAATTCAATAATACTTAAATTAACTTTAGGGAAGGTTTTGATCCTTGGAGCTTCGTTCCAACTTGGAATGAAAACAGTTTGAAAATATTTTAGAACAGGGTAGGTTCAGGCTAGAGGTAAGGAAGAAATTTTTTACAATGAGGGTGGTAAAACACTGGAACAGGTTGCCCAGAGAGGTGATGGAGGCCCCATCCCTGGGAACATTCAAGGCCAGGTTGGACGGGGCTCTGAGCAACCTGATCTAGTTAGCAGTGTCCCTGCTCCTGCAGGGGGGTTGGACTAGATGACCTCTAGGGGTCCCTTCCAACCCTAAACATTCTATGATTCTATGATTCTATTTTAAAGCCTTCTTGTGGAAATATCCAGAAAGGTAGATTAAAATTTTTAAAAGGTATATGCACCTCTAAAAAAAAAAATCTAGCAAATCCTTGCCATTAATTCACACTCCCATGTTAAAACAAGACATATATAGGGCCCTAAACCTTTACCTATGCTTTGTGCAATAGTGTAATAGCACTTTGAAGACCCTTATAACCGCATAACCAACTCAGTGGATGGATAAACTGAGAAATAAAGATGATTCATGACTTGCTAAGGGCCAGAAGTAGTATTTCTGACAAGCACTGTAGGTCAGATTTAACAAGCGCCACTCAGCATCCTTTACTGCATTAGTACTTTAGCAAGGATTCTCACCACTTGTTCGCTCCACGTCAGAATAAACTGTGGGTGCATGCGTACTTACTGCGGATTGTCACACTGCCGCGTCCTGTACTTCACCCCCGTGCCACAGGTGCGGGAGCAAGAGCCAAACTTACTCCATGCCCCCCAGTGTCCGTCCTGCTTCAGGATGTCTGGCGTTAACCAGATGCAGTGACCTTTGAAGCAATGCTAAAAGAGAACGTTGGATGTCAAACCGACGAGGTGATTACAGCGTATGAGGAGCTGTGGTACAACAGATTCATTTTAGGCATAAATTCTGGATACTTTTTTTCACCTCCCCAGGAGAAAGCAGTGAGACTCACTGCCAGACCATGCCCATGACTGCAAACTCACTCGGACTTTATGAATCACACGTGTCACATATATGCTTGCAGGATTCAAGCCTACCAAGTTCGTTAAACTGCGCTCAGCGTTACACGCCTTCACCACGTGCCTGCAGGGGGGATTTCAACATAACCCATACAGCTTCATTTAGGGGAAATGGCCGTCCCCCAAATCTTTTAGCTTGAGCCGTCCCCCAAATTTGGGAGGCTAAAAGTGAAATTCTGCCTTGCCACTGCACGCAGCCACCCCAGGCAGCGACGGCGAGAGCTCCTGTCGCGGCACCACCCTTCCAGCAGCCCCTAACTCCGCATGCACATCCCTGCAGCACGTGTGGTCAGCAAACTGAACATGAAATTAAAGCCAGCTCACATTTTAGCCATTATCGCTATAAAATAAAATACTCCTGCAGGCCCCCTGGAGACCTCACGCTAACCCTGGCCACCAGGGAGCAGTCCTGGGCAGACTCGGCACAATTAATCACGCCCTTCTGGGTTTTCTCTTCTCTTTCACCTGATTTCTCAACACAGGCACAAACACAATTTGCTACGTTCCTCAAACCTATGAGGTATGTACGCATTTCTTTAAGGGCCTTCATAGCTTCAGGACCAATACACTCTGCTGTGTCTGCTCGTTACAGAAACCCACCAACGCCTTTCCACCAATTTCTTCACTCCCTAATGAAGGAATTTTTTCTTAGCTGAAGTCAGGAGGAATCCTTCTCAAGGATCACAGATTCAGGCCCTTTCTAAACTGCTGCTTTCATAAAAGTCTGCTGATGAAGTGCGGGTGCTGGAAAATAATTCCAGCCCAAGAAATGACTTTGCATTAGACTGCTGCAGTTCGTCTGCGTTCACGGTTACTGCTGGGATAAGAGCTCTGGCTCAGGCACACAGATGGCTACAACAACAAGTGCAATCAGTCACTCACTTTCCTTAACATTCAAGTCAACAACAACATTTTACACAGCTTAACAAGCCCTGGAACGCAGGAATTTGGCAGGCGGCACAAGCTGAGCATATGGCTAAATGCATGCTGCCAGCAAAAACAAAATCAGAAGAGATGTAACAGGAGAGCGGTCTCAGGCACGGAGCGATTAGTGATCTGGAAGACGAATTTAAAAGTGATGGCTAATCATTAATAATGCTGAATTTAAAGAGAGAATCATTAGTCAACCGGTGACAAGACACAGCTTACTGATTTGCTAATCTGCTCAATGACCAGCTCTTTATTCAGGCAATTTATTTTGGTGCTGATTTGTTTGGACAAGGAGCAGAAAAGAGAGCAGAAATTAGGCTTCAACTATTTCTTCTTTCTCATGACTTCAAATATTGAAAATCAAAACCTATGAAATAGATGAGTTACCACGAAGCCAATTGCACCAGTCCTGCTCCGGAGCTGTAATGGGCAGATCTTTATCAGCTGTTTGACAGAACAAGAGACAATTCAGCAAAGCATGAAAGAAATGCAAAATGCTAATGTATGTCCTTTGCTTTCTTCAGTTTTGAAGCTCAGCGCTGTACCCCTCAGGGAGTGTTCACTTAGGGCTTTAGGGAGGTTTGTTTGAACGCACAGCTTGAGGTGCCAGGCCCTGGGCAGCAGTGGGACCACTGGGAGATGCAGGGGGAGCTGGCAGTGCAGAAGCTTGCCAATACAGAGGCCGATGAGACGCGACAGCTCCTGATCTCTGCTTGCTTACGCATCCTTTTACCAGGGCTCTGCCTCGCTCAGGTGTCAGTCCCACAGCAACCACCGAATCCCTTTCAAGAGCCAGGTAGCATTTGCTCGCTACACGGTGATCCAGGATCCAGCCCTTGGACTCGGTGCAGCAGAGAGAGAGACGTGTGATGTTGTTTTCCAATCTCTTTTCCCTGTTTTAGCCAGGAACAGGGGGATGTGGGTTTGCAACAACCGCTAACGAACCACCTGTTTGACACTGTGACTGGCCCCTGAACTGGAAGGCAAACACAGAGAAGTGTTATTGACTTTGCTGCGCCAAGGAAAGAGCAGCTCTGACTTTTACTGGAGAAGCTGGTCAAACGCCGATTGTCGGGAAGCCGCGGCAGAGCTGTTAGGAGACAAGCATTTGTGTAGAATGAGTCATCCCCAGCTCTGCCTTTTTGTTTGTGGATTAGAAGAAAGGAGCCTACATAAAACAAAATGATTCACGGCCGAGTCTTACTGTGTGCAGACCCCTGCAAGAAAACGCGTGAGGAGGTAAAAGCAGAGATGGAGCCACCTCCAGCGTAATAAAGGCAGCTAGAGCCAACCCTTCCTGTGGCTACCACAGCAGCCCCATAATGAGGTGGAAAAGAGCCAGCTTCAATCGCTATTCCCTTCATAAACAGGGGGTTTCATTTAAAGAGTGAAGCATATTAAAGCAATGTGGGTTTTTTTAATGAGGAAAAAAACCCAACCCTGAGTAAATGCAAATCGTTTTCTTTGTGGAAGACAAGACGACTTCTTGCAGTCTCGCCTATTTTTCTGGCAAACAGGACAGTCCAAAACAAGTGCAACTTCCAGGAGAGGAAGCTTAAATCTCTTGCAGTAAAACATTCCACTGCTGTTTTCAGCAGTTCTTTGAAACCACTGCTGCGGCCGCCAAAAAAGAGCCAGTGTGTTCCTGTGGGCTTAATACATCTGCAAGTTAATTTTTCAAGAGAAGACTGGCAGATATTCCGTGGGTATCTCTGTTGTTTTCTATCGGGCAGCAACCGGCACCTCTCCCATCTCCTCGTTTGACACCCAGTTATCCACCAGTAACCCCTCGTACCGTACCATGGCTGGCGGCCTCGGCTCTCCCCGCTCTCCTGAGACAGCACCAGGAGAGGGTTACTGATTTATTTGTATTTCCTGTCACACGCAGGCTGGTCCGCTCTGCTCCATCTGTTTGAGAATAATTAGCTGCAAGGGATAAACTGAAGGCTCCAGCGCTGAAGCGCACCGTGCGCCAGTGGAAGTTCCTTCGGTGGCGAATCAAGTGTTCTCGCTGTTTCTGTGGTGACTAACACAGCGCACGCTTGCCCATCTGTCTCCTGTCTCCGAGAGAAGCTGAGGTCAGCTTTCTCAGTGGGAAATTAGCTGGATTGCTCTGAGTACACATTAGTGTTTTCGAAAACCTTTTTTCTCGGTCCATTTTTCTTCTCAATAATATCTATTTATTTCAATATTTAATCATTCCCTTCCTTTCCTGACAGACTGAAAAATCATTTCCAGTTTGGCTCAGATCATCTCCCTAGCACGGTGCAAGCAAAGAGAATACCTGCGAGGTTTGTGCACGTAAGCCAAATCCCAGAGCAGCACCAGCTCAGCTGGCAGGGGCAGGTACCAGGCTCCTACCTCTCTCCAAGCAAAAAACCAAGGGCGGCTCCGGCGGTGCAAACCGTTGTGTCAGCCACTACGGCAAGCAGATGGACTCCAGCATGAGATCTCCTTGCACGAATAACTCTGGGGTTTGTGTCTGTCCTGTGGAGAGCAGTTAGCCACTTCAGCCACGATAAACGTCTCCCCAGAAGAGTAATAGTTTAAAAAACTGGAACAACAAAACCTGATGATGTATTTCTGAAGGTTGCCTGGATTCGGAAGCTGGAGGCTAACGGTGGAGCTGACAGAATTCTATACAACTAAATAAATTACCATCTGAAAGCGTGTTTTTTCTTTTACTCCACAGAATGCTCTGCAGAGCTAAGCTTTGCACAGTAACGCCACATCTGCATGGCTTACTGGCGCGATTCGTGGAGTGGCTTTGCCTTCACCTTAAGACTCTGACCCCCCACGTGCTTTACTTCACACACCGGAGTTATTCCATGGAAGTTAATGTGACCATTCAGACACAGAAGTAATTGCAAGTCGCTGCGCCAGTGAAGCATCACAAAATTGACAGAATCTTCCCTCTTGCTATTGAAAACTCAATGTAGTTTAAAAAAATCAGGCTGGGAGCAATGTAAAATATTCTATTTCCTTTAGGATGCTATCAAAATAGTGGTTTTCTTCTCTGGCTGGAAAGCTCCAAGAGAATCTTTTATTTTTCTATCCCTAAACCCAGCAACTTACTAGTTTGCTGCCAATTAACATAATATCTCCATTTGCAGAGGGAGACTTATTGAAAAGTATTTGAAACGGCAGAACCTCACTCTTTTGGCAACTTACTTCAAATAACCGCATGCACAGAGGAGCTTACATACATTTACATATATTTACTTAAATATACATCTATACGTATGCATATGTACACACATATAGACAGCACTAGAAAGTCAAATCTTGCCTCCATTTCCAGGGGCCAGAGCTTAGGCCCGAGACGCAGCGACACGGTCCCTGTCAGCGGGCTTGCTGGAAACACGCTATGGATCCCGTGCCTCCCCTTGACCGCCAGTCAGGAAGGAGCCAGCTCGACTGGAGTCTCCTCCATAGCATCTGCCAAGTTTGGGAAGGTGAAGAGACCGGTTATCAGGTATCTGAACACCAGGCCTTGGGGAGAACATCTAGGCACCGTACGCCACTCGAGGCTCCCGAACATCGCTTTCACCGCTGGCATGCAGCCCCTCAGCTGCTGCAGAGCCAAGACGTTCCTTTAATGCATCCGCAGCGTTGCGACTGCTTTGAGCTTGTAACAGGCCCTGGGAATTAGTGGCACGAAGTTGGGAAAACTGCAAGTCTCTAAAGTGGGAAACAAATGGATCTTTTTGAATCAACATCTTTAATTGCTTATGCTTCTGTTCTTTTCTTTTCTGGTGTGATTCCAAAGAAAATAGCAGCTCAAGTTTGAAGTTACTTTCCTCTTCCTCGCGTGCTGATGAAGTAGCATGGGAGCTGTATCTCAAAGGTGGCTGCCACACTGCAGCTGAACCCCAGCTTTGGGCAATGCATGCAATTAACACTCCTCACCCTTCCAGGTTAGTCGCTGGTATTGTCCAAATCGATGGAGAGGGAACAGCAAAAGGCCAAATGAAAGGCAAGGATGAAAAGGAAAGGAACAGATGGGAAAGGACTGATCTGATGTGCCTGTATTAAAAACACCCACAACTAATAAAGGCACTGGTCAAATGCTGAGCTCAGATGTACAGAATCAGCTGTAAAACCTCCATAGCCCAGGCTATTTTTAAGAAAATGTTTAGCTCAGACTGCTGAGCCTTATCTAACAAAATGGTTTTCATTTAATACCATTTTCTCAGGTTCTCCTGGAAGGTTGCAATAAGTTTATTTATCAAAAAACTGGGACAGCTCCTCTGGGAATAAAACAGTCATAGTCCTATCGTCTACTGAAACTTCAGAATGTGCACATACCCTCTTGCATCTCCACTGAACTAAAAAGCCTGGCTCTCTGCCTTGGATCCCAAGTTCCAGGCCAGAGAAAATTTTTACAGCTGACTTGCATAATATCCTGACAAACTGTTTATAATGGAAGCACTGACAGATCCTTAACTGTACGGTTACAAGCTCTTTTTTTCCTCTCATTTCTGTTGATGCAATAAAATGGAATGTAACTGTATTTTTCTGGGGGTTTCATGAGTATTTTTAACGCAAAAATCAAGATACAGAAAAGTGAATCTGAAGAAACTAAGGCTGTAATTTAGATATATATATATTCTAAACAAGAAACAAAGCTGTTACAATGGGAATAATATAAAGAAGAGAAAACCAGAAGGGAGCGGTTTACAGAGATCATGACTCGCTAGGGAATTAATTTAGCATTACATTATGTTTTCATAAAATAGACATTTCAAACCATAGCAGCAGCTGCTGATATGGTTCATTTATCGCACAAATGATGTCATCCATTGGGTTTTACAAAACATCTTTCCAAGTAGCGACATCTTCCTCTCCCCTCAGTCACTGCACCCAACACCCAGGGAAGCCAGACCTTTTCAGCAGACTTCAAAGGACTTGGCGTTCAGATCCGCTATGAGCACAGCTTGACCTCCACGAAAGGGTGACTGAGACCAGGAGCAGGTCCAGCAGGGTGGCCGAGGGGTCGGAGCTGAGTGAGTCCCTGCCACCTCGCACCTTCCTTCCACAGTTCCTCATGCCCCCCTTGACTCTCATCAAGCCAGCAAACCCATCTCCACAAGTCTGCCCTTCTCTCTTCATAGTCCCTCTCTGCCGTCACGTTGGCTCTCTCTATCTGGCACTTGACTCCCACATCCATCCTTTCCCTCGGGGCAGCCACAGCAGCCTTAGCTTGGCTGTCACCTCCAGGACCTCACTGCTCTCTGCACCCCCGGCACCGGGGAAGCCAGCCAGCATCACTACAAGGTCACTGATACAAACACAACCCCCCCGACCTCACACAAGTCATGGGTGAGTGGAAATTTCCCCATTTTTGGCTCTGCCACAAAGACCTGCTAAGAAGCACAGGGCTATCTGCAGATACTTCCATAACTTGCATGAGAATGGGGTTTGATGGTCACAGAGCTGCCATGTAGGACTCCAGCCCTGGCTCTTGCCTTGTCCCCTCACGCTGCTCAACATTTGCACTCATGAGTTTGCCCCACGTCTTAGCGGGCTTCAAGTCCTCAAGATAAGTTCTTCTCGTCTTCCCCTTGATTTTAAGGGGAACATCCCCAGCTGCAAACACACATGAACACGCGTGAGCATGTGGGCACACTCAGGACCTGCTCTCACCTTTCCTGGTGCACACATGGTCCCGTCCAGCGGAGGCCCTTTCTTTGTTTTGCAGAAGTAGGGGTTCTCGGGGTGGCTACACCACAGCTGCTTGCAGGGATCAAACGTGCGGAACTGAAACACAAAAACCAGGGCAGATGATGCTTTAAGAGAGCTCCCACTGGAACTGCAATAGAAGCTGCAGCATGGGGGGGTGTTTCCCTTTCCTAGCTGTAAAATGCCAGCTGTTATCACCAATTCCTGAGGAACACTGCGGCGTCTGCGGATTGAGCGTATCTGAGCTGCCATGCAAAATCATCCATGACTCTGACGTGAGATCCCACCTGCACTCAATGGAACAAGGCTGGGCAGAAATAGTTTTACACTAGTGACCAAAGGCAGGCTGGGCAAGGGAGAAACCAGTTCCCCCAGGCGGCAAGACACACGCTGCCTTTTCTTACAGTTTCTCAAAATGGCGCTGCTGCATTTGGCAAAGAAAACAAAAACTATGAGTACTCATGGGAGGGGAAATGAGCTGCTCAGCCTGTGGCTCAGCTGTTGCAATCACCTTCTTAGGATGATGACAATTTGCGCTCACGACCATCACCCGATGAATAAATCAGTATTTTACCTACAATGCAAGAGCTTGTGTACGAGATGACAAGAACCACCCACCACACGATATACCAGAACACGATGTCTGGACATGCTTTTGGCTACTCTGAACAAAGCAGACTAGAAAGCCTCCATCTCCCAGGCTCTGGAGAGTGGCTGTGAGAAAAGACCCTCTTCGGCTGGGACATTCTTCCAAGGCAGCATCAGTGGGAATTGTGTCAAGACACGACACTACAGCTGATGCTTTAAAGGTTTTCATCTGTTATCTAGAGACATGGCTTGGAACACATGTTCCTGCAGATGGGAATCAAATCAGAAATGTTATGTGTTAGCAGCTGCCACTCCAGCTGAAACCATTTCTTCCCATTTAATATTGTGACCTGACTGAAGAGCTGGAGGTGGGAGGCACAGCCCTGCTGCAGAAACTCTGCTTTCTGAGGCCAGTCCACTGAGAACTGCACTAATCTTGCCTTGCTTTAATTTTAGACTTTTATTTTTCCGGTACAAGAGAGCCAACCATGTCATCAAAAGTCCTTGCAATTGCTCTACTCACTGTCTTGCTTATTTTCTCATGCTAGGCATCAAAATGCATCACGGTTTCCATAAAATTGGACCATAAAAGCATAATGCCCCATGTTAGCACTAAAAGATGTGCCACCAAGTCCATCTCCTTCACATCTGGGTGGGATTGTTGTAGCAAAATAACTAGCTGCCAGCAACAGGAGGCTCAATGATGCAGCACGCTTGTTCACTTGAAGTCTACAACTATTTAGGAAACTACAGAATAATTATTTCTGTAACTCCAGTTTAAAAAAACCAAACAGAGATACTTAAAATGACACATTTGTCAACATTCAGTTGTTATTCCTTGCTCACAGCTAAGTGAGCACAATGTCTTTCCTTGTGGCCTTCACTACACTGTCCCTATCAAGTGCGTTTCAGAGACACAGACAGCACTCCGGGGTGAGAAATGAGAAGGCAAGCTTCAGTACTCACGGCTGTGCACATCATGTAGCCCAAACCAAAATCAAAACGGCACTGCTCGTTCATGGAGTAGTGAATTCCTGGCAGCTGTGGCAGGGAAGGCCAGTCATGTTCAAAGGGATCATCCCGCAGACAATCATAGGAACTGCAACAGGCAAAAGTGACAGTAACGCATGGGGCTGGGAGACTCGCGACATGTTGGTGGCTTCAGTGCCTTCTTGTTCCAAACAAAAGAGAGCCTACGGTTTCCCAGACCCTGGCCATGGAGAGCAGCTAATTCTGCAATTACACTCACGTTAACGTTATCATGTTGCATTCACCTTCAATGGATTCTCTCTATATTTTTTTGAAGCCCTTCCATTGTAATTTCCACTTAGCTTGCAGGTAAATTCCTATCAGCCTCCAGGCTCCTTACATGGAAGGAATCAAAGGAAGAATGCATAGGAGACCAAGAAGAAAAGGAACTTGGATTCATTTTCCATTTGTGGAATTTCTTGCTGCCTGCAACTGTCCTTCAAGTGAAGTTTTCAAAGCAGAAGCCCAGGTAACCATACGGGATTACCACTAAGCTTGCAGTTGTCCTGCATCTTCGCTGAGAAGCAGCGCTTCATTTACAAGCATGTGTACTTTCCTGCCTGCGTTAAAGGCTCACATTTGTTCCCTTTCTCTTCCTCCCAATAGCTCTCAGCTCCACCCAGCATCTGCATGAAGTTTCCCTTCTGTGAGATGAGTATGGGAGCTTCTCCTCTTGTCCTAAATAGCGAGGACAGTAACGTACCAGAATCATGTTTGACTAAGTCATGTGGAGAAGAGAGCACTGATTCTAATATCACTGTTTAACGTGGTATAACCATTGGTTAATTCACAGGACCAACATGATCAGCAGTATCTCTGCAATGTCCTTGAGTCATTTAACAGACACGAGGACACCATACGTGAGTCTACTCTGGCAATCATTCAGGTTGCCTTGAAGATAACAAGAGTTGAAAGCAGAATTCTGAGGTTAGGTTTACTTCAAAGCAAACCAGTGTTCTGCTGTGTTACAAGATATTTTAAAAAGCTGTATCTAAAAGAATGTAAAGCAGCCCTCCAGGCCAGGTGACTTTTATTGACTGGCTAAAGCTCTACAGGATCTTGCTAATTGAAACAATCACACTTCTCTCACAATATTTTTATTCCTCACTGCCCTACCTAAGATATCCAAGATAATAAAAATATTAACAAAAAGACTAACTCACATTTACTTCACATATTTTGCTGTAATTTTTTCCTACTTATTTTCAGGTTTTGCTGGGTATCCTCATAATTTCCCCATACCTTTCCATTCAACTTGCACACAGCAACAAGGGAAAGATCTTTTCTGTAAGGAGCAAAACCACGGTCATAGACACCAGTTTGTCAGGGAACTCCACTGCAGGGTCAGGTTCAAGGGGAAGGCAGGGGACATAGGTGAAGCTATTGCAAGGACTGGAGAATAAAATGGCTTTTGAATTTAGGGTACTTAAAGGAAAAGTGACAACTAAAGAATTGATTCTAGAACCACGCCTTTTCTTTAGTTATCTACTGAAGTCAAGAAAAGCCCTGAGCACTTAAAGGGCACCTTTAGGCAGCACCACCTTATCGTTGACAGGTATCGCAAGCATGAAATGGCCTTTGAAGCCAAATTTGGTATCTGTAAGATAGACACCATGCTGCTGGGTAGCAGAGGCACTCCTCCAGCGAGAGGTCACACTGGGGAGGAAGGAGAGCTAGCAGTGAGATTTGTAATAGTGTCTTCTCGTAACCCTTGAGAGGACAGCATATATCAACGTCCAGAAAATGAAATTAGAACAATTTAAAACAGACCAAAATCAGACTAATGGAAAACTTGCATTGTTATCTGTGGTTGATGGGAAAGCATCTCGTTCCCAGTAGGATGGGTGAGAGTCTTTGTTTCATTCAACCCCATTTGAGTAACTAGCAAAAGGAGAAAGCACAAACGCTAGATGCAGAATTGCTGTTACATGCTTCCTAATCAAAGGAGAGAGGCTGCTTAACAGCTACTCACTGGAGGTACCGATTCAGCTCTTGCTGGCTGCAACGAGACCAGTGGAAGCGATGAAACGCGGCTTGCACGAGCGGGGCCATGATGCTCCCCAGGCGGACTTCGTCCCCACATCTGTTCCCTTGGCCATCGTGCTCCATGCCTAAACTGCCCCGCGCAGGAGAGAGCCAGCACAGTTACCTCGCAGGTGAACTCTGAGTGCCCCAGTGCTTTCGCATCCCCAAAGTCACCAGAGGCTGATGGCCACAAGGTTCTTCAGTCCCATGACCCTTGTCCAAATGAGCAAAGTCATGAGAAAGCGAGACTGAAGCCAAAGAGCTGGTCTGTAGGGGCTCCCGCACAGAAGCACTGACCCTTGAGCGTACTTTCATGTCATTAGCTTAATCCACTTTCAAACCAGACTAAAAATGCCTTCTTTGGCCTTTTGTGCACATCCACATTTGTGAATAACTACAGCTAAAGGAATCCATTTCTGGATTAAGGATCTCATCCACCCTCCAGGAGTGTTACCAGAAATTTATTCATACTCCAATCTGGAGCTATTCAGGACTTTATCTAACTTTTTAAAAATCACATCTCAGCTTAATTTGAAGTAATTTGCAATTGTAAACAAGTCCTTTCCATATAAAAAAAAAAAAAAAAGACATCACACTGAAAGCTAGTTTAGACGAGGAGCTGCGGTTGCCCAGTAGCAATTGCACATTGCTTAAATGTGAAACAGCCTAGAAAGTGTTGGGTGCTTTCTAGAAGATTACCCCAATTTACAGATATTTTAAAATTTCTTTGGGCTTTACCATGAATATATTTTGTCCTTCCCTCTGTTAGGATCTTACACTGCATTCTTTCTATGAGCACTGTTTGACGAACATGGGCAACAGCCGTCCGTAATTTAAAACAAATTAGCAGATTGGGGCTGAATGTGATTTGAGGGATTACAGACATTCTTCAGCGGTATCTCTTTTAAAGCTCACTGCATAGTCTTTTTAATCCTAATTCAAAAATTCTGGAGTCAAATACCATCTGGGTATCAATCCTATGTCCTTGTCTAATTAAGATACGTTTACAGTGAGATTCAATAAACTTTGGCAATTTTTTGTTTAAAGCCCTTAATAATTCTGATACAACAAAGAGAAAAGGCCTGCAGGCTTTCTTAGGGAAAACAGAATAGATTGAAAATGTTCAGAAAAAGCCCTCTGGGAACCGTTGTTCTACCAAAGAGAAAATGGGAAATCAGCGGGTGTTCTCTGCAAACAGGGAGACTCAAATGCTCTGGGAGAAACCAAAGCTCCGACAACTGCTGCCCAGTCATTGCTTCTAATCACATCAGTAAGTAAAACGATTGCATTTTTTATATGAAACATAGAGCACAGTTGTACCCTCAGTGCTTGGCACCTCGTTTCTGTACAGTGTTGTATCCTTCACCAGCAGTAATGTGTACAGACGCTGTGCTTAATGCGGGTGGTTGTCAAGAATCCCATATTCCCCCGACTCAATGAATTCCCATTTCATCATTATGGGTACTTTACATTTCCACCAGGAGACTATCATACATCATTCAATCTATTCTCCCAGCAGCCCTGGAAGGTATTTTGGTATTAGTGCCTTTTTCCATTTGAAAATACCAAAATAGAAAGCTTATGTAAGACTAAAAAGAAAGCCTTGAGAGAGCTGAGATCTGAAGCCAGGGCTAACCCCTGAATGTTGTTTCTTAACATAAACCGCATCTTTCCAGTGCCACGGGTATTTGTCAGTACCAAAGACATTCTAAGGTAGGACACAGGATGCGTCCACAGTTCTACTCACACGTGTCCGGTTTCATGAGCCACCACAAACGCAGATGAAAAACCATCTTCGTGGTTGAGAGTGCAGCTTCGAACAGGATGACACATTCCAGTGACTGGAGCGTAGCCTGTGAGAAACACCCCACGTTCCAGAAAATGAACAAGTATGGAAAGGCAACGTGGTGAGAAGCGCTAGGACAAACATCTGTCTTCTGTCGTGACACAAACATAGCTGAAGTGGTCCTCTCGAGAGACCTTTGCCCCCAAACATCTAATAATGTCCTCCCTCGCCTACGAAACATGAAACCAGCCTGTTGAACAAGTTAAAACTATATTTATAGTTCTATTTATAGTTTTTAATATATTTTTAATATACATTTCTTTTATATATATTAAAATATATTTTATAAAACAGAAAACTGTTGTCACCTGTAAGACCATCCCGCAATTGCCTTCTCCAAGTGTGTGAGGCAAAGGGGAGAAGGACACCATGTGCTGCTGTGTCACAGCTCACCGGGAGCTCAGCGCAGTTCTGGCCCTTAGGGATCGAGCGAGCAAAGCCCCAGCCCTGGGCTGACAGCAGATCTGGCCAACCAAAGCTGCCAGGAGATGTGGCAGATCTGGCCAACCAGAAAGGAACGGAAAGGCTCTGAGACTTATCCCCTCCAGTGATGATCTCACAGGAGGCACAGCCCCGAAAAAAGGAAAAAGGGTTCAGCCCTTGGCCCTGCTGTCCCAGACCACTCTGTAACAACATTTCTTGGCAATCCTGCTGGAACACAGCAACAGCTTTGGAGACTCTTTAAACACAAAATCTGTTCTTTAATCTTTGGGCATTTTCAGGACTGTTTACATAGGGATCCCATTTGCTTGGCTTCAGCAAGAGCAAAGAAGTGATCCAACAAACCAGTAAGAAAGGATAAAATGATAGGTGAAACGGAAACAACTGAAAACGGCCATGTGCAGAGCTCTTGGGGAAAGAAAACGTTGGCCAAAACTAAGGAAAAGATACACAATTCAACTTTGCATAATTAGCCTTGCTAAGTGACAAACAAAAATGCTGCTCAGAAGCCTTGACATTTGCAAAACAAAGCCTGACGAACATCTTACCTTGCATGCCAGATGGACCAAAATCCTGCCTTGTGAGAAAGATAGCATGGTCATGATACTCCGCATGCCCAGTGTCAGGTTTCTGTTGCAAGTAGGCCCAGCGACACACATTTTCAAGACTTTGTGAAGGGTTCCCAATCTCTATCAGACTCATAGACTGCATATGTGGAGTTAAAAAAAAAAAAAAGACATCAATAGTTATTTATTAAATGTGTTTAATTTTTTTCCCCAACTTGTTCAGGCACTTGAGCAAACATTTTATGTCCACTAAAAGTCTGTTCTTAATCAAGAGACAATTATACTTCAGAAACAATTTTTACGGGATCAAGAAAGTAAGAAAATGACGAACGTTCATGGTTAGATTAAATGCAATTTCCATGAAGTATTCAAGAGGTCTAAGATACAACAAAAGACCAAAAAAAAAAGGGGGGCAAGAGGTATTTTAATGGCAAAACTGGTATTGTACTGTGCACTGTTTGTTATCGTTTCTGTGACACCCTGGCACCATCTTGTTCCATCAGTTCCAGTCTGGGTATAGAGTTTCCAATGGAGCCCGTGCCCCTGCTGGAACTGCAGCGGCTGTTGGCAGAGGAGATGAACCCAGTGTGGGGAAGGGTGATGCCCGATGGCCAAGGGAAGCAAATGGCAACAACGGCAGAGGGCCAGCACCCAGCCCTGGTTCATCAGCCACTTCTGCTATGAAACCAAGCTGTTACGGCTGTTTTGTCAGACCATTGAACACTGCTGGATGTTTTAAGTGTAAAAACCAAGTGTACTTTTTTCAGCTGCGTACTTTCAGAAATGGACTTTCCCACTGAGTGTCTTTTAGCGTGCGTTTTCTTTATCCCATTCCATGTCTGAAGATTGTTCCAAAGGTAGCACATGTAGCTTCCTACTGCGGTACGCCATTCTCCCTACAAACTGCATGTTATGGGGGGGTGCGCTGACACGGCTTAGCTGACTCAAACGAGCCAACACGCGTGAGGTGCCGTGCAAAGGACCATTCCCTTGAACAAGCAGGAGAAAGGTATTTTAAAATTCAACTACTATATTTGCCTTTTTTCAAAATAGTACTTTCTTAAGAATTCCCAACTAATGCTACTTAATACTGTGTGTTGCTAAGACTTAAGAAAGATTATTGTATGTGGGATGCTATAAAACGTATGACTAATTGACCCATCCCAGGTCTTCCCGGATCTGTAACAGCTACATATGTGAACCCTGGCTTTTCATTTGCAAAAATGGTATTACCATGACAACACTGTAATCAAAACACAATCCACTACAATTTAGATGCTATACTGTACTGTAAGCATTTGTCATTCCAAAATACTTAATGTAGAGCAAAACCTAGCCTCGGCCAAAAAGAAGAGAGAAGTAATATAATTTGTGTTTAAATACAGATGTATTTGACGTGTCCTCAATAACTGAGTGCATGACAGAGTACACAGAGTATTGACTACATGAAAAAGAAAATCCTCAAAGGGTTGTGGAATAACAACTGGAATTGATAAAAGAAAAGTCTGCCAAGCTGAGGTCTGATTCTGGCAAAACTGGGATATTACAATTCTGCAGATATTCAGAAAAACAAATTAATAAAGCAAATAGAGGCACAGTTTGGATTCTGATCCCACTGTGGAATGAAGAAGTTGTAATACAATCCCACGCTGGATTACATTGCTTCCAGCCATAACTCCATTGGAAACTGAACTAATAACCATATTAAAATGGTGGCACGGTTGGTGTGCCTTAATTGCATCTTTGTATATTTATAAGAGCAGACTTAAACAAACCTTGAGTGACTATTACAGGGCAAGATCATGGCTCTTCAAGCAAAAATCCTATTCATTTAAACAAGGTCTGACCATTGCTGAGGTCTTTAATAATATCCATCAGTGGTAAAACAAAAACAAACACGCAAACAAACCAAAAAAACTTATCTACATCATTTCCACCTTGTCCTTATTTCTCCAAAGCTTCACAAAAGAAATCAATCCCTTCGAGGAGTTCAGTGAGAAATCTCACTGCAAGATTCAAACAGCAAAGAATGCTGTAAAATGAAGTTGAAAAATCTCAAGTCATGTGTTCAGTTTGCTACTGGTCCGTTGTTTCATAACGACCTCCTTCTGCACATTCTACCACAGGCATCTCATAAGATGCATCGATCGGAAAACAAACAAAAAGTACGCACTATCAACATGTGCTTTGTTTAAGGCTATCCGAATATTTGCAAAGAAATCTCTGCATGATCAGCAAACAAGCACAGAATATAGAAAAAGCCATAAATTCTAAATAACCGCTGGTTTATAGCTCGCCTCTGCCACATGCCACCTCTTCCCTACCCCCTAAACGGAAACCTTTGCAGCGGGCCCCAGCACAAAACAGGTCTAGTCTCCAGATGGACGGACCCATCAGCTTGCAGCACTTGTTTGACGGATGTCTGGCCTGCCAGAGACCAGACCAGTCTGCTGCAGCGCGTCCCACAGCCCCCATGGTTCGGGCGCTGCGTTGGCATCTGGCACGAGTCAACAACTCTTTTCACTGTCTGCTGAAGTCCACTCAGAGAGCAAAGCCACTGGTTTGGTCTAAGAGCATCTCAATGCTTATTTATCAAAACAGTCATTTGAGAGTTTGTCTTCAAGCAAACAAAAGGAGAAACCGAAAGGAGAATGTGGAGCATTGTGGGGGCTTTTGCATCCAACACGATGGGGAAAATGAAGACAATCCCTTTGGCATTAGAGGGACAACAGAGGACACATAAGTCTATAGAACATGTTTCAGCTGATGGCCTGATTTCTTTGCCGATGACACAACTTTACATCAAAAACGTGGCACATGTAGAATCGAGCTGTACTGCTCTGTGAGTTGGGAAGTGATGCATCCAGTAGGAAGTCAATTATTTTAAGTGCTACAGACATAAATAGCAAGTTGGGGTCCAGTGTCAGTGAGGAGGATTTCCAAAGAGTAAGAGGAAAAAGTCTACCTGTGGAGTGCTCAAAGTCCACTGAGCACTCACATCATCTGGCCACTAATCCCTCCCTTGCCTTTCTTCTCTGTAGTGTAGCAGCCTGGAAAGAGAAACCCACTTGATTCCTAGCAAATTTTCACCCAAATTCCCACTTTCTGCAAGTTGTCAAGGACTTCCAAATCAGCAAGGCTCCAACAGTACTAACAGTGAATGCTGCATGGCCAGGGAACCACTGATGTGGGGTCCGAGTCAACCTCGCCACGCTACACCACTGCACTGGTTCAGACCAAAGAGCCGTGTAAGCCACAGCCCCTCCTGGTCATAGGCAAGGAGGTGCCCAGGGACGGGAATTAGAGGAGCGCAATTATAGTGTAGTATTTGCTTCCAGATAACCTCCAAGGCTCCAGTTGTCTTTGGATGAGAGATTTCCTGAGCCAGACAGATCTTTATATTGCATTTTTATTCACTTTTTCAGCTGCCTCACCTTTAAAGCTAAATGCTGCTGTCCTGCAAGAAAGGAGCTTAGGAAATCATGGGACCAGGCACAGCTTGTTACTCGGCAGGGCAGATGTAATATGTTTTGAAAGGATGTTGTCCAAAAATTTACTCTTGTAGAGATATCAGATAACACTTGATAATATTTTCTGTTGGAAATCAGTGGGGAGCTTTCATCAGACTTGGAAAAGCCCTACCCCTTATTAAATGGACAAAGTGAGATGAGAAAGAGGAAAAGAGGTGAACTGTGTACAGCAATAAGGATTATAAGTAAAGGAAAATCCCTCCTTGTCAGTCTTCAAACAGAGAAAGTTTGGGGCTTAGCAGGCTGCATATGGAGAAGAGGTGTAGGTGTTACTGTTGGCCAGCAAAGGGCCCACACTGCCAGGATCATGCAGGTCCTGCAGCTGGCTGGGAGCTCAGACCTGGCTGGGAAGGACCTCTTTCCAAACAGAATGGAAAGAGAAACTTTCCTTCTCACAGCAAGAAAAACAAAAAATCTATGGGCATTTCAGAGAACTGCTGATGGAAACAGATGGAGATGTTGTCCAAGAAGTGCAAAGTTCTCAGCTGCGAGAACATTCCCCTTGCGAGGAGACACCACAGAGGTTATGAGGACAGTCTGCCCTAGAGAACCAGCCAAGATCCTTGCTCTGGGAAACTCAACTTCTACTAATGCCTCCCATTTTCCTTCTTTTTTGATTCTGCCTTCATTTCTTCTCTACTCCCTTCCTTCTTAGATGGAAGCAGCAGAAAAAACTAAACAAAAGACAACTGAGTTGCAACTACCATTCATACACTGAGGCAAAGTGCGGCAGTAAGAAATGGTTGAAAGTCATTACTACATAGCTCCAGGGGCCTTCGAGCCATCTTTGCTACCTGTCAAAGGGCAGTTACCAGTGTGATGTTCAGTTCCCTGTTAGGAAGACACTGAAGAACAAGAATTTAGGAAGCTGACTGGAGGGTCCTTCAAATACTTGGAGATTGGTTAGAAAGTAAGAAATATGTCAATTTTTTTTTCTTTAACAATGTCAAATACAAAGTTATCTTAGAAGAAAACTGCGAATTTAGGCTATAGTCTACACAAACTTTTAAAGAAAGTTCAGGTTGCCAGTACCTCTGAAAACACACTGGTATCATGCACAGAATGGCAGCGTTCCTTTACCAATCTGCCATTTGGCATAACTGGGCACAACTTTGCAATGGTGTTGATGAACAGGTACTTGATGGTAAGAACACAAGGAATTCAGGGTGGTCAGAGGCTTGCAGGAAAAGGACCTTTCCTAACTCATCCATTAGGTGGTGCTCCAAGAGTACCAACGGAGAAGGCTTTGCTGCTCTTCAGTAGCTCCAGAAGGAGCAGAAATATGATAACTTCATGGGCTTCAAACTATGGTAGCAAAAGTTGGACCACAGCAGTGCACACACTCGGGAAGCCATTTAACATATGAATTTCCTTACTGGAACGTGTGAAGTTTCTGAAAAACACAGTTTACACTGCTTCTACTTTGCATGTCCGTTGTTCATTGTATATTGGATTAGATCTTCTGTATTATTCTTTCATCCTGAAGCAGGCAACAGGTAAATAAATACAATTATTGAGTGTCCATGGTAACCAAACTAACAAAAATAGCTCATTCAACAAACTGTCATTTTGCATTCAAAGGATTTGTAAAGCTTTCTTATGGCAGCAG